CCATTCATTCCACATGCGCAGAGGAAGGACGAGGGCAGCTCATGCCAGATGAGTGGGGAGGCAACTGGGCCTCCATGCAAGGTGCTGGGCCCAGGCCTGGTAGGGCCAGGCAGGGAGGAGCACCTGATCCAGGTGTACTGAGGAGCTGGCCATTGTGACAGAACCCACGTCACACCCTAGGCCCAGCCCTCCCCTCTATTTCCTAGAGACCTCCACTTCCACCTGTGTTCAGTCAGAGTGGAGTGCCTGTTTCTTCACTGCATTATTCTTTTTTTTTGTACTGCATTATTCTTAACAATCAGAGGACTGGGCCCGGCGCAGTGGCTCATGCCTGTAATCCTAGCACTTTGGGATGCTGAGACAGGTGGATCATCTGAGCTCAGGAGTTCATGACCAGCCTGGACAACATGGCAAAACCCTGTTTCTACTAAAAATACAAAAAAATTAGCTGGGTGTAGTGGCACATGCCCGTAATCCCAGCTACTCAGGAGGATGAGGCACAAGAATTTCTTGAACCCAGGAGGCGCAGGTTGCAGCAAGCTGAGATCGCACCACTACACTACAGCCTGGGAGACAGAGTGCGAGATTTCTGTATCAAAAAAAAAAAAAAAAAAAAAAAAAGGCACGGTGGCTCACGCCTGTAATCCCAGCACTTTGGGAGGCCAAGGCAGGCAGATCACGAGGTCGGGAGTTCAAGACCAGCCCGGCCAACATAGTGAAACCCCGTCTCTATTAAAAATACAAAAATAAGCCAGGTGTGGTAGTGGGCACCTGTAATCCCAGCTACTGAGGAAGGTGAGGCAGGAGAATCTTTTGAACTGGGAGACAGAGGTTGCAGTGAGCCAAGATCGCGCCACTGCACTCCAGCCTGGGCGACAGGGCGAGACTCCAAAAAAGAAAAAAAAAAAAAAAAAAAAACGGCACAGTGGCTCATGCCTGTAATCCCAGCACTTTGGGAGGCAGAGATGGGCGGATCACTAGGTCAGGAGATCAAGACCATCCTGGCTAACATGGTGAAACCCCATCTCTACTAAAAATACCAAAAAAAAAAAAAAAAAAAATTAACTGGGTATGGTGGCAGGCGCCTGTAGTCCCAGCTACTTGGGAGGCTGAGGCAGGAGAATGGCATGAACCTGGGAGTTGGAGCTTGCAGTGAGCCGAGACCGCACCACTGCATTCCAGCCTGGGCAACAGAGCAAGACTCCGTCTCAAAAAAAAAAAAAATTAGGGGTCTGAATGCTTTCAGATTTTCCTTCTCTGTCTCTCAAATACTTTACTTTAGAGGAAACACTAACTCTAGGTGCTGCTGCCCTGCTGTGACCTCAGGAAGCTGCCCCACCAGCTGCAGCCTCTTTGGCCCCCAGCCCAGCACGTCCTCGTCCTTCCAGCCAGCGGACAGCCGGGCTCTCCCACCAGCTGTCTGTAGGCAAGTTTTAGGCCAGTGTAGCCCACTCCCTCCACACCTGTGGCTGCAGCCTGGTCTGTGGAGACCCACCCCCGCTCCCTCGCCCCTCTGCAAGGCAGTGCTAGGTCCCCTCCCCAGATCTGATCACCATTTGGGGTCCCACCGCAACCCATCCAGCACTTGCCCAGCCAGGCTGCGGGAGGGTGGGTGTTCCTCACCTGCCATGCTCATGCTAACCCTACAGCTGGGGGAACCAAAGCTCTGAGCTGTGACATGACCCCAGCAGGCCATGGTGACAACAGCATGCCCCTCGTACTCCATCTCCCGAGTGCCCCTCAGGTGCAGGGGACAGTAGGGCGCACAAGAGGCTGGACCCCTTCCCAGATTCTGAACCTGTCTGTGTGAGGGGGGGTGTCCAGGGCTCACCCAAGGAAGGCCAGAACCCTGTGGCTGCTGAGACCCGGGTTGGTGCAGAGGTGTGAGAGGTACTGAGTGGGCAGGACCCCTGTGAGCCCTCTGCGGAGGAGCCGCTGGCCCCGGTCACAAGGCACTGAGCCGGCAGAACTGGAAGCAACAGCACAAGAAAGCCGCGTCAGCACCCCTAAAACCCAGTCTGTGTTTGTAGTCAGCAGGGTCACTTCTCGCAGACGGGTGCCGCGGATTGTACAAGACCCAGCTATACTTCCGGGCTCTGAGCTCAAGTGCTGACCTGTGACAAATACACTCCTGGCTTCCATCCTAGGCGCCCCCCAACACCCTTCCCTCACCCCTTCCTTACCCCCACCCTCATCCCTCCCTCACTCACTCCCTCCTCCCTCAAATCCTTCCCTCACCTTTCCCTCACCCACTTCCACCTCCCTCCTTCACCCCTCTCTCATCCTTCCCTCACCCTCACCCCCTCACCCCTCCCTCACCCCTCCCTTATGCCTCTCTTTTCACCCCCTTATCCCCCCTCACCCCTCCCTCATCACCTCCCTTACCTCCTCCCTCACCCCCTCCCTCCCTTACCTCTCCCTAACCCTCTCTCATCCTTCCCTCACCCTCTTCCTCGCTCCCTCTCACCCCTTCACCTCCCTCCTTCACCCCTCTCTCACCCCTCCCTCACCCCTCCTTTACCCCCTCCCTCACCCCTCCTTCACCCCTTCTTCACCCCCTCCCTTATCTCCTTCCTCACCTACCTCACACACCCCCTCATTCCCCTTCCTTCATCTCCCTCCCTCATCCACAGCCCATCGCTCACACCCGCTTCCTCATACCCCCTTTCCTTCACTCACTCTCCCTCACAACCTTCTGCATTTCGACTCCAGCTCTCCCACAACCCCTCCCTCACACCAAAGCTTTAGTAATGGGAGTTCCCTCGACCCCAGCATCTCCTACCAGCTCCTGCACAGTTCTGAATGTGAGAACAATATCCCATGTCCAGGTGGGGTAGCTTGGAGGAAACTGCTCTTCTTACTAGGGTATCATGAGGGCTTCCTGGAGGAGGTGGCATTCCTGAAGGATGAGTTGATGGGCAGGGCTGGTAAGGAGTCCCAAGCTGAGGGAGCAGCATGGTTTTTGCCTGAACACCCGCAGCACAGGTGTGGAAGCACAGGACACGGCCATCTGTGGATGTAGTGTGGAAGCAGGGACTCAGGACAGCCAGGAGGGCCTCACTGCCCAAGGCTGCCTTCCCCTCCCTGGGGACCTAGTTCACTGCTGGTCACAGGAACTGGTTGGCCCGGTGGTTGGCAGGGCTGGGCCTGATGGTGGTTGAGGCCCAGACATGGGTGCCTATCATTCTCCTTCCTCCAGGCTCCAGCCTCAAAGGGTGGGGCAACCACCAGGTGGGAGGCGGCAGATGCAAGAGTGGGCCTGGTTGGTGGTCAGGGACGTCACAGACTCAGACCCAGGCTTGAGTCCAGTTGGTCAGGGATGGAGCTGGGGGTAGCTGGGCGCTGGGAGGGCAGTCCAAGGACAGTGGGGCTCAGGACCTGGTTGATGTGGGCCTCAGGGCAGGGCGGTGAGTGCACACAGATGGACAGGGAAGGCAGCAGTCCTGAGGCCAGGCAGCCCCTCGCTGAGGAATGACACCTGCCCACGGGGCCTGGGGAGTCAGGGCCTCAGGTGGTGTCAGGCAGCCCTGAGAAGGTGTGTGTGTCCTCCACGGCCTCCGGCCGGGCCACCTAGGACTTGCCCAGGCCACACACCGGCCTGTGCCCTGCCTGCCTCGGAGGTTTCCTGCCTTCAGCTGACGCAGTAATAGAATGTTAATGTCCCTGGAGATCCCTCCTTCACTCTCCAGGGACAAGTCACACCTGTCTACACCCTTCACCCAGACACCTGTCACCTTCACTAAGTATGTGTCTCCTTTACCCAGGCATGAGGGGCACCTGGAGCAAGGTGGTCAATTCCTAAAAGGATTTCCGAGGCAGGGGGGCTGTGACAGAACCCACGCTCAAGGAGGAGTCCCGAGGGAGGGATCCCATTTCACAGGTGGGCAAACGGGCTGAGACTGGAGCACAGGCCCTGGCCCCGCGGCTCAGGGTGGAGGAGGGAGAGGGCAGCTAGGGCTGTCCCCCCGCCACCCCACTCAGTGGGCGCGTGGCAGCCCGGCAGGTGGGAGGGCTCTGAGGCTCTGGCTTTCCTTGCCCCTGGCCCTCAGATCCCTGAAGGGGCAGGCACTGTGATGACCAAGCAGCAGCGCCGCCCAGTAACGGGACATCATGTCCTGGAGCTCCACACTCCGCTGTCAGCCTGGTTCCCACTGTAACGTGCGCAGGGACCCTGCGACTGAGCACGGTCCCTCCAGGAGCCGCACTCATAGCCTCGCCCTGCCAGTGGCATCACCCCAGGGTTAGGGGCTCCCAGCACCTTCTGGGGCAAAGCCTGGGTGCCTCCAGAAACCCCCTGGAAAATGCAAACTCATGATGATTCTGCGGGTTGACAAATATTCTTGTTTCCCCACTAAAAGGCTTGGGGGAGGAGCTGACAAGGGGAGGGAAGCAGGTCTCCGGCCCAGGCTTAGCAGCCAGAGAGAGAGAGAGAGAGAGAGAGTGTGTGAGTGTGTGTGTGTGTGTGTGTGACAGAGAGAGGCACACAAGGTGGGAGGAGGGGGCAGTGTGGGGGACATCTGAGGTGGGGAGGCAGTGCCTGGGGGCTTATCCGAGGCAGGTGAGCCCATGTTGGGGGCATCCTGTCTGGGGGTCTGTGCCAGCAGCTGGATGTGGAGATGCCGGGAACACCAGGGCCAGTCCCAGCTGGAGTAGCCATAGCTGCCGTCATCTCTGAAGCCCTGCTGAGACTGAGGAACAAGGCAGGCTGAGGGAACTTGAACATTTAATATGGTCAGCACCTTGTAAGATGAAGGTGGTTTTTTGTTTGTTTGTTTGTTTGTTTGTTTTTTGAGACGGAGTCTCGCTCTGTTGCCCAGGCTGGAGTGTAGTGGCGCGATCTCAGCTCACTGCAAGCTCCGCCTCCCGGGTTCACGCCATTCTCCTGCCTCAGCCTCCCGAGTAGCTGGGACTACAGGCGCCCACCACCACGCCCGGCTAATTTTTTGTATTTTCAGTACAGACGGGGTTTCACCGTGTTAACCAGGATGGTCTCGGTCTCCTGACCTCACGATCCACCCGCCTTGGCCTCCCAAAGTGCTGGGATTACAGGCGTGAGCCACCGCGCCCGGCCGAAGGTGTGTTTTTTACACAAATTATAAATAATGAAAAATAAGCATTTAGAAAAAGAAGCAGCAGTCCCCTTGGCGGGTTGGCTGGAGGACTCTTTGGCTGAGTGGCGAGTGAGGCCCTGGGTCCGGGGTCTGTCAGAGCCCCCCTAGGTCATCTGCCAGGAAGGCCAGCAGGTAGCGGCTGACATGTCTGTCGATGATGACAGGTGAGAAGCCGAGGACGCGCCGGGTCCCTGGCAGGCCCTTGGGGTCTAGAAGACAAAAGGGGAGGCAAAAGCTCAAGAACCAGTCCCAGAGGTGAATTCTGTGTTTCCATCCCTCCCACGGGGGTGGGTGGGAGCGGGCACTGGGGCAGGGTGTTCCCTCCCGGTCATGGTCTTGGCTTGAGTTGAAAAGACAAGAATTAGGGCAGATTCCAGAGCCCCTAGCTCCCACCCAAGTGACCCATGGGCCTTTGAGTCCTGCCACGTGTGCCTGTGTCCTCACGCCCAGTAGGCCTCCCAGCACGACAAACTCAGGCATCACAGAAAAGGGAGACGGGGCAGGCCAGGCTGGGTGCCAGTAGACGGGCCCTGGGAGGCTCCTATGCATCAGGCCTGTGGCTGGTGGAGAGACCCAAGGCCCTGGGGCACGTGACCTGCTCAAGGGCCCCACATGGCCCAAGGTCACAGGTGTGGCAGGGCTTTGTGACACCCAGAGTCCTGGCTGCACCCCTCCTCCTGCTAGGGGTCATCATTTTCTGGTTCCCAAAGGTGGCAGGAGCCAGTGGATGCTGGGAGCCTCCTCACATCCCATCTCTCATGAGCCCTGCAAGGTGACACCATCCCACTGCTCAAGTGTGGACACTGAGGTGTGGAGAGGCCAAAGGGTCCCAAATTGGGCAGGGTCTGGGGCCCTGGCTTGGTGGCAGAGGGGAAGCAGGCCCAGCCCTGTGAGGGTCCGCCTGCACCCACCTGGTGGATAGCAGTACAGGAGCAGGGCCAGTCCCACAGCAAGGCCCAGACCAGCCAGGAAGCTCATGGGTCCTGGGGAGAAACCAGCGTGAACAGCGCTCCCCTGGGCCTCAGAGGGGTGGGGTCCTGAGGCTCGGGGGCTGCGCAGGGGAGTGGGGGTGCCAGGCTGAGGTGCTGCCTGAAGAGCCCCCAAGCGAGCACCTTAGGGGGTCTGTCACCAACAGAAGGCCAGGAATGGAGCCACACTTGGGGTGGAGAAGCCCCTGAGGCGGAGATGGAGCCCTGGGGAGGGTAAAGAGAGAGGGAAAGAGAGGGAGAGAGAGGGGGGGCAGCAGGGAGGTGTTACCCCTGTCACTCAGCTCGCCGCTCTGGCTGCCCGAGTCTAGCTGTGTGCAATCTGAGTTCTCTAGAAACAAAACCACAGAGCATGGTTAGTCAATGGGCAGCGCCGGAGAGCAAGGTCGTCACCCCGTAGGAAGCCCAAGGCCACTGCTGCCTCCTGGGGCCGCCAGGCCAGACCAGGCCGTGGCACCCGAGACCAACCCTCCTCAGGGAACTATGCACAGTCTGGGTCTTCTCCGGTGGTCCAGCTGCTGTGACTTCAAGTGCCACAGGCATGGGGAAGGTCATTGTACCCTGGTGGCCACAGGCACCAAACGCGGCATGAACACTGCTGTGGACAAGTGGCTGCTGTCAGCCTGGTGGCTGCCTCACTGGGTGCAGCTGGGCCGGAAGCTGTCTGCCAGGCCTCCCCCGGAGGCTATCCAGCCTCACACCTGATGGATGGGCCTAAAGGCACGCAGGAGCCACAGAAGGTGCTCCACCTCCAGTGGGGCTGAGGCTTGGCCCTGCCTGGTTTTCAAAGCCCCCTGTGGCATACTCGTGGCTCGGGAGGGAGAGCCAGTCCCTCCTGCAGGGCTGCGCCTCCCCTCGAGCCCTCCCTGCCCACCAACTGCACTGTGTCCTGTGAGGCCTGGGGAGGCCTCCGGGGGGTCAGAGACCCCCAGCCCAGTAGCCTGGGGTGAGCCACCCAGTCCCTCTGGTCTCTGTCCTGTTGTTTGAGGGCCAAGGGGCAGTAGCCCCTCCTCCTAGGGCCCTGACCACAGAGGCGTCAGATGAGAGTTGCCATCTTTACCTTGAGGCGCCCTGAACGTCCCGGCAGCTCTGTGGGCCCAGGCTACTGGCATCCACATGACTCCCGGGGCCTGAGCACACACTGCCTGAGGACAGGAGCCTCAGAGCTGAAATGCCTATGCTTCGGACCAGCCACCCGGGCCTGACCACGCCCTATGGAAACCCCCACACATGTGCAGATCGCGGCAATGAAAGGGTTCGTCATGGGGTTGGGTAATTCCAGCGGGGACCGCCTAGGAGCGCTCTGCGGCTGTGGGAACAAGGCTGCTGTCCACACAGACAGGAAGGGATCCCCCTGGAATGAGGTTAGAAAAGGAAGGGCAAGAGAGGACGCACAAGATACCCCCTTCTGTGTGAAAACTGCCATGACAGAGAGAGATGGAGAAAGTGGGAGACAGAGACCAACATCCGCACTGCCTGTGCCTGCCACACTCTCCCCTTGGGGCTGAGGGTGGCCTCTGGGGAGGGGCTGAGGCGAGAGGGGATGCCAGGCTTGGGCTGCAGCAGACTTGGGAGGCCACGGAGAACATCCATGCCATCAACAGCAGGCTGGGGTGCCCTCCCTGGGCTGGCACCAAGCATGCATGGTTGGGGACATGGAACTTACGCAGAGCATGGCGGCTGGGCAGGCAGCTGTGCAGGGGCTGGGCATGGATATACAGGGCTCGGTAGAACTCCTGGCAGTCCCGCTCGCCGCTCCGCTGCAGGTGGCTCAGGAGGTCACAGAGCCGCACACGCAAGGACGCCTTGGGGTTCCGGAACTGAGGGTACAAAGGGGTGCCAGGGAAGATCAGGCCAGGGGGGCTGGCTGTGGGTCAGGGCAGGGCACCAAGGTCAGGCCCCCAGCCTCAGCTTCCCCATTGAGTGTCAGGACACCTGCTGGATGGCAGCTCCTGTGACACCCTGCCCCTTACCCATACCACATAGTGCCTGGCCTTGCCTGTCACAGGCATCACTGCTACTCCTCATACTCCCTGTGGGGTGGGAGGTTGGGAAACAGGCCAGGAGCGGTCACAAAGAAACCACAGGGCTGGCCGGGCGCCGTGGCTCACGCCTGTAATCCCAGCACTTTCGGAGGCCAAGGCAGGCAGATCACGATGTCAGGAGATCGAGACCATCCTGGCTAACACGGTGAAACCCCGTCTCTACTAAAAAATACAAAAAAATTAGCCAGGTGTGGTGGTAGGCACCTGTAGTCCCAGCTACTCGGGAGGCTGAGGCAGGAGAATGGCATGAACTTGGGAGGTGGAGCTTGTAGTGAGCTGAGATCGCGCCACTGCACTCCAGCCTGGGCGACAGAGCAAGACTCCGTCTCAAAAAAAAAAAAGAAGAAAGCACAGGGCTGGTGACATCATTCCAAGTGTTAGGACATAGTGTAGCTTCCTGTGTGACCTCAGCCAGCAACTCCACCCCTCTGAGACTTGGTTTCTTCATTTGTAAAAAGGGGATAATGAACCCTCATGGTAGGCTGTGACAGGGAATTAATGAAGTGAGGTATAAGTGCTAACTTCTGTTATTTTGCAGTCTACAGGAATGTGATTCAAGTTTTTGAAAAATAAGTTGAAGCTGAGCGCGATGGCTCATGCCTGTAATCCCAGCACTTTGGGAGGCCAAAGCAGGCAGATCAGGAGTTCGAGGTCAGGAGTTTGACACCAGCCTGGCCAACATGGCGAAACCCCATCTCTACTAAGAGTACACAAAATTAGCCAGGCATGGTGGTGCATGTTTAATCCCAGCTACTTGGGAGGCTGAGGCCAGAGGATCACTGGAAACTGGGAGGCAGAGGTCGCACTGAGCCGAGATCACGCCACTGCACTCCAGCCTGGGTGACAGACTCCATCTCAAAAAAAAGAGAAAAGGGTGACAAAAGTATTGGCTCTTTTGATGTATCTGACAAAGAAATGTGTGGTTCTCAAGGTCAGTGGACAGGCCACTGGGCCTTGACCGCCAGGACCTGGAGTCTGTGGCCCAGTGCTGCCACCTGGTGGCAGCACATCATTCTACATGGCCACAGGAAACTAGAGTAAAACCGTGGCAGTGTGGAAATGACAGCCAGATGGGTGGCAGAAGCTATGGTGTGTGTGAGGAAGGAATATGTGGCTTTTCTTGTATAAACATCCGAAACTTTCTAAACTTTCTAAAAGTGAACATGCGTTAGACTTCAATTACAATAATAAGAGATGGATTTGAGCTCCTAACTTTTAAAATTACTGTATCACCTTCACAATGGAAGAAGCACCTGAGCCAGTAGCAGGGCCCGTGTTGACTTGTGTTCTGTTGTGGGCCAACCTCATTGTGCCAGGAGATGCCCCAACCCTAAGGACAGCCCTGCATCATGACCCCCTGCCAAGTGAGGAAACGACAGCTCCAAGAGAAGGGACTCAATTGGGGTCACCCAGAGGGGAAGGAGGCTGGCAGGACCTGTACCCTGAAGGCCCAGTGGTCTCCGGCACTCACTGCCCATCCCTCTGGTCTTGGTGATGGCTGTCAAGGAACAGGTGGCTCAGTGCGGGCGCCAGAGCCACAGATGTGGGCGGGGTTGGCAGGGTGTGGCTAACTCTCTCATCCAATGTCCCCTCAGGGCCACCTGGCACTGGGGTGATGGGGCAGGACAGACCTCCCAAGACAGAGCCCAGGAATTGCATCTTAAATGCCATCTCCAGCAGAGCCGCCCTGGTGTTCCCAGCTCTGCAGCTCTGAGAGGCCAGGGCCATGTGACAGAGCGACAGCCGCTGGCCCTGGGCACTTTCCCAAACAATAGGATGAACTCAGGACGTGGCCTGGCACTCCTGAGATGAGCGGCCCCGGGCAAGCGGCTGCCTCTTGGGCCTTGGGATCACCTCTGTGAGATGGGGTGATAGGCGCGGTGCCCACACAGCTGCAGGGCCATCTGGTGATAAGGGCTCTCGGGCAGGCGTTTACCCGGCTCAGCTCAGTCAGTCCACACCACACCTGCCAGGCAGGGCTCTCAGCATCTGCTCCACACATGGGGAAGCTGGGGTTCCGAGGGGACCAGCCCGCTCAGCACTGCTGAGAGGCGCAGACTGTGGCGCGGCTGTGGGGTGGGTCAGCATCTGCCTTCCTAGAAGCTCGGTTGCCTACCTGTGACATGCTGGGCTTTCCAGCCTCGTACGGTAATGTAGAAATTAGACAATTGTTTGCCCACTTTGAACCTTCGGAAGATGCAGAATGCAAAGCGCTGTGGCACTGGGGTGGGCCAGGACTATCTGTTCCCCATCCCACTTCAGCTCTCCCTCTGCCTCTGCCCTCCTCACCCCTCCCTCTCGCCCTCTTTCTCGCCTCCCTCTACGTCTTATACTGTCATGTGCTTCATGTATTGTCACGTTATCTCCTGTAATCTCCCAGCAACTCAGGGACAGCATACCCAATGACATAGGAAGAAACCGAGGCATAGAGAGCTGACGTTCTGGGCTTGTTTGGTCCAAAGGGCCCCAAAGGGTCAGTGTGTAGCTCAGGCAGCCTTAGTAGCCAGGTCCAGATATGTCACCTCTGAATCCTGACATACCTAGTGTGTCATTCCTGTGAGAGAATGACCCAGGGCTGGTCACCAGCTTCTCCCAGCCCAGAAGGGAAGGGAAACTGAGCAGTGTCTCGGGCACCCCCCTCACCTCCTCAGCACCTTTTCCGCCTCCTTGTTGGTAAGGATCTGTGGGTAGTAGCGGTTCAGCTGGAGGATGATCCTGTCCACCTGCTGCTCACTCAAGCGCCCGTGGCCTGTCAGGAAAGGCGTGTCCTGCACCAGGCGGTCACAATACGTCTGATCTAAAACAGACAGCACAGGGGCATGAGCCAGCACAGCCCAAGGGGACCAGAGACGACAGCCTTGTACTGACACCACAGGAGGGCATCACCCCTGAAGTGGGTGCCCACCAGGAGGGTGCACCTGCAGAATCACAGCCACCCCAGCCTGTGTGGTGTGCACTGCACAGCTGAGAACTGCCCCTGGCCTGCCCACCTGCCTCACCAGAAGATGGAAGTGAAGGGCTGTGCTGGAAACCCACTTTCACGGAGCTCATCACAGAAAACAAACTCAGAGGGGCTAAGAATCTGCTTTTCATGGGCCACCTGCAGGGCCATCAGGAAATAGCTGGGGCCTAGGGTGGCACAGGTGGCTCAGAATGCCCAGGACCAGGCATGGTGGCTCAGACCAGGTGCAATGGCTCACCCCTGTAACACCAACATTTTGGGAGGCCAAGGTGGGCAGATCACTTGAGCTCAGGAGTTCGAGATCAAGAATGCTCAGACGTGGGCTCTGCAGATCTTCACACTGGCACAGATACAGGGACACAGGGCTCAGGGTGGCCCGTGCTGGGATCACGATGGGACACAGTGTGTCTGAAAGGCCTTAAGAAGCTTCTACCAACAGTAAACCAGTGAGTCCTCCCAGAGGGCTAGAAATGCTTTTCATTTGCCTTTTTTTTTTTTTCCAGAATCACCATTAAAATATCATTGTACCACTTTTCCATTAAGAATATTTCTTAGAATGACAGATCTTTAAGGCTGAGCAGTGGAGTGACGACAGGAGGGCATGGAGAGGATGGCGCACAGGATCCCCACAGGGACTGAACATGTGCATCACCTTACATACTTGTGGCAGCTTGTCCTGTTTCCCCATATACACAAAGAAAATATTTATAGAACATAACACAGAAGAAAATGAGAAGGGAATCTAAATGTGTTGCTACAAAAAGTGAACAAAACACAAAAGAAGGCAGTAATAGAATAAATGAGGGTAAAAAAAGCTACAAGACATACAGGAAACACATAGCAAAATGGCAGTAGTAACACATTCCTTATCAGCAATTAATTCAAATGTAAATAGGTTCAACTTTCCTTTTTTTTTTTTTGAGATAGAGTCTTGCTCTGTTGCCCAGGCTGGAGTGTCGTGGCCCAATCTCGGCTCACTGCAACCTCTGCCTCCTGGGTTCAAGCAATTCTCCCTGGGATTACAGGTGTACGCCACCATGCCCATCTGGTTTTTGTATTTTTTTAGTAGAGACAGGGTTTCACCATGTTGGCCAGGCTGGTGTCAAACTCCTGACCTCAGGTGATCTGCCTGCCTTGGCCTCCCAAAGTGCTGGGATTATAGGCATGAGCTACCGCACCCAGCCAAATTTTCCTATCAAAAGGCATAGATTGGCAGAATGGATTTTTAAAATATGAGACAACTAAGTGCTGTCTACAAAAGACTCACTTCAGATCTAAAGACACAAAGAAGTTGAAAATGAAAGGACCTAAAAAAATTCCCATACAAATAGTAACCAAAAGAGAGATGAGGTAACTATACTAACATCAGGCAAAATAGACTATAAGTCAAAAACTCTTACAAGAGATTAAAAAGTATATTATGTATTAATAAAAGGATAAATTCATCAAGAATATGCAACAGTTATAAACATATATGCACCAAATATCAGAGCTTCAAAATGTATGAAGCAAACACTGGCAGAGTTGAAGGGAGAAATAGATACCTCTATAATAATATTTGGAGACTTCAAAACACTACTTTCAGTAAGAGACAGAACCACCAGACAGAAGATAAATGAGGAAATAGAGGACTTCAACAACACCATAAGCCAATTATACCTGGTAGACATACACAGAACACTCCATCCAACAATATAGATATTTTTCTCACGTGCACATGAAACATTCCTCAAGATAGGCCGCAAAACAAGTCTGTGGCCACAAAAATCAGTTTTAATATATTTTAAAAGGTTGAAATCATATAAAATATATTTTCTGACCACCCACAATGAAGCTAGAAATCAATAATAGAAAACTAAAAAATTCACAAATATGTGAAAATTAAATAGCCAATGGGGCGCCAGTCATGGTGGCTCACACCTGTAATCCCAGCACTTTGGGAAGCTGAGGCAGGCAGATCACTTGAGGCCAGGAGTTTGGGACCAGCCTGGCCAACACGGCAAAACCCTATCTACTAAAAATACAAAACTTAGCCAGGCATGGTGGTGCACGCTTGTAATCCCAGCTACCTGGGAGGCTGAGGCACAAGAATTCCTTGAACCTGGGAGGTGGAGGTTGTAGTGAGCTGAATTTGCGCCACTGCACTCCAGCCTGGGTGACAGAGCGAGACTCTGTCTCAAACAAACAAACAAACAAAAAAAAAAACAAGAAAACCAATGGGTCAAAAGAGAAATCATGAGGGAAATTAGGAAGTAACATGAGAAAAGCGGAACACACACCTACACACACACACCCACACACCCACACACACACCCCCTACACTACACCAAAACCTAAGGGATGCAGCAAAAGCAGTGCTGAGAGGGAAAATTATAGTTGCAAATGCATATATTTAAAAAAAATCTTAAATCAGTAACCTAACATCACACTTTAAGGAGTGAGAAAAGGAAAAAGTAAAGACCAGAGAGCTTGAAGAGCAAACTAAACCCAAAGCTCACAGAAGGAGGGAAATAATCAAGATTAGAGTGAAGACAAATGAAATAGAGAATTGAAAAACAGTGGAGAAAAATCAAGAAAACCAAAGTCGATTCTTTGATGATATCAATAAAAATGACAAAACTAGCTAGACTGACAAAGAAAAATAAGAGAAGACTCAAATTACTAGTATCAGGAATAAAAGTGAGGACATTACCATGAACTTTACAGAAATAAAGGAATGTAAGAGAATACTATGAACATTTGTATACCAACAAATTAGATAACCTAAATGAAATGAAAACATTCCTAAAAACGCAATCCACCAAAACTAAACCATGAAGAAATAGAAAATCTAACCAATAACTAGTAAGATTAAATCAATAATGAAAAATATCTCAAGAAAGAAAAGCTCAGGACCAGATAGCTTTGCTGGTTAATTCTACCATAAATGTAAAGAACTAATACCAATCCTTCTCAAACTTACAAAAAAAACTGAAGAGGAGGGTAACTAATTCTGTGAGGTCAGCTTTACCCTGATACCAAAATCAGACAAAGTCGCTTCAAGAAAAGAAAACCACTTTGGGAGAGAGAGGCAGGAGAGTCACTTGATGCCAGGAATTCAAGACCACACTTGGGCAATACAGCAAGACTTTGTCTCTATGAAAAAAAGGAAAATGGAAAAGACTACAGACCAATACTCCTTAGGAATATTGATGGAAAAAATCAACAAAATCCAGCAAATCAAATTCAGCAGCATGTTAAAAGAAGTATACATTGATTTGTTCCTGGAATACAAGGATGGTTCGACATGTAAAAATCAAAAATCAATCAATGAAATATACCACATTAATAGAATGAAGGAAAAAATACATGGCCATTTCAGTTGTTTTAGAAAAAGCATTTGATAAATGTCAACATCTTTTCTTGATATAAATATTTAATTAATTAGGTCTAGAAGATGGTATGGTTTGAATGTGTCAACAAGCATGTATTGGAAACTTAATCCCCAAAGTAACAGCACTGAGAGATAGAACCTAATGGGAGGTGTACAGGTCATGAGGGCTCTACCGTCATGAATGGATTAATGCCAATTACAAAAGGGCTTCAAGTTTCGGGTTTGTTTTCTTCCTCTTAATCCCTCTCATTCTCTCTAGCCCTTCTGCCTTCCACCATGGGATAACACAGCAAGAAGACCCTCACCAGATGCTGGCTCCCTGATCTTGGACTTCCAAACCTCTAGAAGCATGAGCCTATACATTTCTGCTCATTATAAATTCCCTAGTTTCAAGTGTTCTGTTATAGCAGCACAAAATGGACTAAGACAGAAGGAAACTTTATCAACATGATAAAGGCCATAGAGTTGGCATTCTGTCTCTGCAGGTTCCATATCCAGGGATTAAATCAACAGCAGATATAAAATATTTGGGGAAAAGCAATACAAAATAAGACTACAGCCAAAAAAATACAAGTTTTAAAAATACAGTACAACGATTTACATAGCATTTACATTGTGTTAGGTATTATAAGTAACCTAGAGATAATTTAAAATATATGGAAGGATATGTGTAAGTGCAAATATTATAGCACTTTATATAAGGGATTTGAATATCCTCAGATGATTTTGAGGGGATTCCTGGGATCATCCCACCTCATATGTTGAAGGACATTTTTATATGAAAAGCCCACAGCTAACATCATACCTTAATGGTGAAAGACTGAAAGCTTTTTCTTTAAGATCAGGAATAAGATAAAGATGTCTGCTCTTACCACTTATATTCAACATAGTACTGGAAGTTCCAACCAGAGCAATTAGGCAAGAAAGGGAAAAGGGAATAAAAGGCATCCAAATTGTAAAGGAAAAAGTAAAATTTTCTCTGTTCACAGATGACATGATTTTATATATAGAAAATCCTAAAATCTTTTTCTTTGAAGTTAGAGCTAATTAAAAGCATGCAGCAAGGTTGCAAGATATAAAATCAACACACAAAAATATTTCATCTCTACATACTAACAATGAACAATCCAAAAATTAAGAAAATGACTCAATTTATAATAGCATTGAAAAGAATAAAATACTTAGGAAGAAATTTAATCAAGAAGGCAAAAATCTTGTACACTGAAAGCCACAAAACATTGCTGCAAGCACTACCCAAAGCAATCTACAGATTCAATGCAATCCCTATCAAAATCTCAAGTGTTTTTTGCAGAAACAGAAAAACCCATCCTAAAATTCATATAGAATTTCAAAACAAAATACCTGTATAGCCAACAAGAAAAAAAAAATCTTAAAAAACAAACAAACAAAAAACAGGGTTGGAGGACTCATATTTTCTGCTTTCCAAACTTACTGTAAAAAG